GCCATCTCACGCTTTATTGTTTTTTAATGACTTTCGGAACGACTGTCGTTATGGGCGAGCAGAACTTGCGGCGACCTCGATATCCATAGGATTTCTTTCTAAACTAGGAAAGCACCCATGAGTTTATTCTACTGGCAGGTACGAGTCGCTATATCAATATTCCACGCCAAGCCTGATTGTGAACGGTGTTCTTTCCCATCAAAAAGTAAAGTTCAATGGACTTGTGAAAGTCAAATTTTTCCGTTGTTTTAAAAATTGCAAAAGTGACGTCACTAAAACACCTGAAGTTGGCTAACTATCTGCCAGAATAATATGAAATTTTGACACGTATCGCTTGAAGTTTGGTACTATCCAGAAGTCATATGGTTCTGCCAACACTGTTGCCATATATATGTCACGCCGGTGACCTATTGAGTGTGTGAGATCTATGATATTTGTACTATTGAATATGTTGTATACAGTTATCGTATATTTAGCTCTGAGTATTAAAAGACGAGTACAAATTCTCTTATGTTTTAAATTGACGAAGGCTTACGAAAATGAGATATATTTAGGAATTCTTCTAAAACTGCGCTACCAGCAAAGTACTTACGGTACGATTGATTATCGACAAATAAATATGTATTTCTTTTCTTTCACTTAGTAACTAACTAAAGTGAAATATGTTTAGTGTATTTCAAGTGAAATGGCAAGACTTATATGCCCTTTCACTGCAGTAGGGGATATAATAATAGTTGGCGGAGCTATTATTATTGTGCTCTTTTTTTTTTGTGTGGTCTTTGCTTTATATCGCTACTGGCTCTGGATACCGATAACGATATCTTGATGACGTGATGTCGTTCTCTGTTTGCAGTATCTATCTTCTAATGTATCTGCGTATTTATTTCAATTTTCTATAAAATTTATTGGCCAAACAATGAAATTAATCAGTATAAATGGATTTTGACACATTAATAACTTTAACCTTTTACGAAGAAAAAAAAAAAAAAAAATGAAAAAGCAAAAAAAAAAAAACAAAAAACGAAATATCCATAGAGATCGATATCACGCAAACTGCCGGTATTGTTGATGTTGTTACTCTCTGACAAGATATAAGATTTTATTTCAGCTCATGCAAATTTAGTGTAATTATTATTGTTAATGCTCTTGTCGCTATGTCGGTTGCTTACACTTATGACAAAATAGCAATTTTTAACAGGCCTACGTCATACGCAAATATTTTAGTTGCGAAAAAATATATATATATATAAATATATTATAAAAACAGGATTTCTGTAATCAAGCTTTAAAAGTCCAAGTTATAAGGTGTGAATAGCTTGATTGATAGATGGATATATGGATAGATGGATACATGATGAAAAGATTTTTCGAATATTATTACAGCGACGTGAAATAGCTTTAGATGAAACAATTTCAATAAAAACGTGAGTTTTGTACATTGAACAGTTAAAGTACTTTTATTAACGGGTTCTAGAAATTGTTATTGCTGTTATTGTTGTTATTGTTTTTGTTATTGTAAACGACCGAGTAAACTACTTATTATAGTTTAAGATTAATTGTGAGTATTTTGTCAAATAAGGCAATCGACGACATAGTGAGTAACGTGACGCCAAAAGGAAGGTAGTGTCTCTGGCCATATATGGTTTGGCCACTTAAAACGAAACGAAACAAACAGTACCCAGCTATATACCACACTCTCTAAGTAACAATTTTTTTTTATATATTTTTTTTTTTTTTCGTTTTTTTTACTGATGTTATTTTGTTTTGCTTTAATGTATGTAACTGGTTTAAGCGTTAAGAGTTGTCATTGACTTGTTGCTGGTATAGGCAGTTAAATACGTACGTACATATAAAGTCAACTGCATGCCACACCATTGCTAACTGCATACATACATACTGCTTACGTACATGCTACCAAATTGGGCTGAAACGCGTGTTCTTGAAAGATTAGAAAGATGAAACGTCGTTACGTCGTCGTGCCATTATTACAAAATCAAATAAATAATAATAGTTTCAATTAATTTGAAAAAAATTTTTTTTTTTTTTTTATATATATTTTTTTCCTTAATTTAGTCAGTCATATTAAAATTATTATTGAAATTATTTCTCTGAAAAAGTTTGCGACTTGAGTATTAAATTTTTACGCTTAAGAATTAATCACTGCATTGCAGCAACACTGCACCAACTCAACTCATATTCATTACGCTTTATATTCTTAATGGCATAAAGATGATATTATGAAGGCTTCGTTGGCAGCATTAATATTATGATGTTTTTGTGATGAAAGGATGGCCGTTTGACTGCTCTGAGATCTGTTGGTGGCGTGCCGTGGCGGTCGAGAGTGATGCGCGTTAACAAAGTTAAATATTATAAAAGCGTATAAAATTAATAAATATTCTCAACAAGTGATTAATTTCTGTCACAAAATGTTGTTATTGTCGTTGTTATTATTGTTTTAAAAGCAATTTGCTGTGTCATATATTGAAAAAGAGCGCATCCATCAATACATTCGTATGGATGCTTTTGTACTGTCAGTAAATATGTGGCATAATATGCTATCGCATATTTAATCATTTTCTATAAGCACACGATGGCTAACTGCCGCTGAAACTGTAGTCCCCCACCACATATACAAGTAAATAAACTAGTGGCTGATTGACTGACCGAATAACGGATAGTTGGGCTAAATGTTTGTATTTATCAGTATACGCGAAAAGCTTGTGTGTGTATATTTATTTAAACAACGGTCTCAAATTGATTGACATGCAACGCTATTAATATGATGTGGTTACAGTGTCAATGTTGTTGTTGTTGTCGCTGTTAGTATTATGAAATGAAAGCTTATGTTGAGAGCAGGATATTTGTAGTGTAATGAAAAGTTCAGAAATTAATATTTGCATATGTGTACACTATTGATGACTTTTCCTTGTTTTGTGGTAAAAATCATCGGAAACCATATGCGTGGTTGACTTCAGTTATACTGTGGGATTTCAATGTACTGGGAATACAGATAAAGGCAATACCCACATCGTCAAGGGTGACGCTCTAAGACATGTATTGGGATCTGCACAGTATTGTGTTACTTACTTACAAGCAGTAAATTGAAGTGCTTAAGTACAAAGGCTCGTATGCGGTTTTGAAGATGGTCACTGGCTGGCTTAAACGTGTGTGCCATATCAATTATGCGCATGTTGTGCAACAAGACAAGATTACTAATTATAAGCTACTTTTCTGTCAATTATTACGTAATGCTTCTACGAAGCTTACGCTACGGACTGGGGACTGTGATTTGAATCTTTCGATTAAGACAATACAAGCAAGATTGGAATCAGGTCAAGCGCATTTTAATAAAATAAAAAACCGGTTTCCTATCTCGTCCATAACGGTTAAGGGGTAAAGAATTTAAGAGTCTTTAATAGTAAAACTAGGGGGTTAAAAACCAGATTATAGATCTAATAGGCCGGTGTAACCAATTTCGTCATAATATCCCGCAGATTGCAATTCGCAAGTCAAACAGAAAATTACGAAACGGACAGACGGACAAACCTCGACTGATTCAGAAAGTAATTCGGACTCCATCGGTTTCTTGCATATCTTACACATTGTGTCCTGTCGAACACAAGACTGCGAGACGGACAGACAGTAATAAAAGGTAGGTCCATCTCAAATTCTTTTAAGTGTTGCGTGTATCCACAAATACTTAACTTACTCTTATACCGCAAGTGGTGTAATCTGTTATCTCGCTTTCTACAGAAAAGTCTTTCCTACGAAGTGCTTTGAACATACGACCAATCTCAACGTCATAGATTATAAAGAGACGCTATTGTTTAATTCGATTTCCGGAATACTGGCAGCTCTAAGAAATTACGGCTAAGTAACCATCCCTTTTTTAATATTTTTTCAAAATTATAATCGTTAGAAGCTCTTCAAGTCTCAAGCCTCACGTGAGTATTATGGAAAAGGCATTAATAGGCTGATTATACGATATGAAATAATTGACTTTTGGCCATGGATCTCAATTGATTAGTGCTTTAGCGGGTGGTGTTACTTATCTTTTTCGATTCTTTCTCTCAATGCCTTATTCGATCTTCCTTATGCAAGTTTCGGAGGAATTTTTTTTTTTTTTTTGCTTCCATGCTGTTGTCAG